GGGCGAGGAAAACAGTCAACTGTCAACGACACTCCCTTTATAACTCACTCTGATCCACTCATGATAATGGAGCCCTCAGAACCTGAGCCTGTTCCCTTAGGCGCTGCTCCCACATGCTGACGCACCGGGCCCTGAGTCTCTAAGCACTTGGCGTTTTGGAGGACCGGGCAGTAAGGACCACCTTCCGGAGCCATCTCAAATACCTCATCAGCATTCCCCACTTTGTGAGAATCACACGAAGTTTCAGCCCCCAGATTAGATACAAGATTTCCCTGCATGTGCACACAGGAGGACGGGGTGAGATCGCAGGGTTACTGTGTGAATCTGCAAGGGGCCGCACCCCAAGCTGAGCGCTAGTCCTCAAGTTTATCTCTTCTTATCTTTTACACTTTCTAGAGAGCTATATTTGATTATAGGGAAGTGGTAGCACTCGTGAAATAAATTCAACTGTCTATTTTCATTTTTATAAACAGTATTTATCTACTTCTAAAGCAACTCATCAGACAATCTGATTGTGAGCATGTGTCTAAGTTTTCTTTCAAATATGCCCGTAAAGAAGAAGGTTCAGATTTTTCTTTTGGTAGATTTTATAGGGAAACTAAAGAAAAATAGAAGAAATTAGCTATGTTTAAGAAGGATGCATTTGGTTTATTAAAAGACAAACGATTAGCTGGGTAAGTGAACTCTAACTTTCCAGGGAGAAAAATACCATAAGCTTATCAAAACCTGTAAGAAATGGTAGATACTTTCTAGAAAGGCCTATTGATAACATCCTATACCAAAGCTCTTCTGCTGACAGTTATTTTTGCTTCACACTGATGCAGTTCCTAAAACTGAGTGTACAGAGGAGATGGGGTGATAAACATATTCGTTTCCCTTCAGGCTGTCCTGAAGGCTGGAGGTAGATAAAAGCCTCCTGAGTGTGCTTGTATTTTCCTTTGATACACACAACACACACATGCATGTATAGGCACACACACACACACACACACTCCCAGTACTTAGAGACTACGATCTTTTTTTTAAATGCCTGGCTATGGGAAAATGTAACTATTACCCAGCACTGTAATAACTTTCTGTTCCCACCTTCTTTCATTCCGATCGCAGACTCCTTAGAGTTAGGAATAGACCCTTTACTAAGTGATACAGTCCTTATTTGCTGACTCTTTCCTGGTTGAGCAGAGCTCTGTTAGGCCAGGCAATCACCACGATATAAAACCTGAAATGGAGCTGAAGATTATGCGCCCCTCCCACAGCTGAGCGTCAGTGAAGACTAGGAGTCCTGTAGTGGCCCAGCAGCAGAGCCTTCCCCCTCTGTCCTCACAGCTAAGAGCCTCCACTAAAATTGTCCTCATTGTCACAATGCTCAGGGGACCCCTGCTCTGCCCTGAGTGAGTTCCAGGCCCTGGCGGCCACATCCCGTTCACAATCAGTCACGGTGCCCTACCGGCCTGGGTGAGTGCAGCCCCTTCACAGGCCCGCCCTCTCCCTCTGTTTCTGGTGCTGTGCTGAGTGTTTCTCCTCCGAGCAGTGAGTATACGACTGCAGGCTCCAGTCGCTCACATCTGCCCACCGTCGGGTGTCCTGTTCAGCCATGCCTCTGCCCTGCCAGTCACAGAGTGATCAGAAGGCACACAAGACGGGTGGCCGGGCACCGTGGCACACACGCACCAGAAGAGACTGAGACAGCACCCCCGCCGCCTTGAACTAATTAGCAATTTAGCCACATAGTCGCTTTCTCAAAAAAATTTTAGGTACTGAAGAGTTAGCTTAGGGTGAGGGGCTGTGGTTAATACCCAGCACCCCAAAGAAGCAACCAAGCAAACTATAAACAATGATGATTCTTAACTTTGGGTTAACAGTGGTGGAGAAGAGCTTTATTTTTCTATTTGAAAAATATTTGAAAAACTGAATGTAGTAGAGAGTAAAATGTATAAATATTAAGTATATATGTGGCTAAGGCCCGGGATTTAGTTCAGTGGTTCTGGCGCCTGCTTTGCAAGCGCAGGGACTGGAGTTTGATCCCTAGTACCAAAAGAAAAACAAAACAAAACAAAAAAGAAACAAAGTATATATGTGGCTCAATAAATTTTTATAAAATTTTAGGGCTAACTTGTTTTTCGAATATTCCTGAATTAATAACTTTTTATTAGAGTTAACTTTTTTTTTACAGTCAGTGCATATTTATATCTAGTTCCAGATGCACTTTCTCGCCTGTATTGCATTGTTCCTTCCATTTGTTCCTTTCAGATTCTGTTTTCTTCCAATAGCACACTCTGTGGATTTCATTTACAGTCTACATGTGCAAAACATTCTCATTTTGTCTTCTGGAAATAACTATTTTGTTCTCATTCATGAATGATAGTGCAGCAAGATATAAAATTTTAACCTGGCATTTGTTGGCTCTCAGAATTTTAAAGATATCCCAGTATTTTCCTGCACTCTTGTTGATGATAAATCTTGCCGGTAGAAATGATTACTTTATAGGTAATCTGTTTTATTTTTTCTGGCTGATGTGAAGCTTTTTCTTTTTCATTTGTTCATGTTGAACTCGAAAATATGTGTGTAGGCACGGTGGATGTGGATGTGTTTTGTTGATTTATATTTATTGAGCTGTAAGTTATAGTCAGTCAACTGTCCATTTCCACTAGACAGTGAGGCAAGTTTTATGACTACATGCACCCTCCTCCTGTAGCTGTTATCCTAATAGTGGTAAGGGACGTTTCTCTGACCTCAAGAGGTCCACTGTTGCATTTTCTTTGTCTATGCTCCGTAGGGGTCCCAGAAACCTGACTTCTGTCATCAAAATTAGTTTGGCCTAGCTTTGAATTTTGTACAGATACAATCATACACTATGCACTCTAATAACGTTATATTGGTAGCATTTTAAAATGTATTCTTATTTCTTCTTGATTTTGTTTAGTTTTGTGATCATGTATTAATAACAATATATAGGTGAGAAGTAACATAATGTACCACATGATGCCACTTGTTTTATAATAGGAGTTGTCAAATGGTATCTGTGAAAAGACAGATAATAAATACTTTAGGCTTTATCAGTTACATTGTCTTACTGCCTCTCTCTCTCTCTCTCTCTCTCTTTCTTTCTCTGACTCACTAATATTTAAAAGTATAAATCCTACTCTAAGCTTAATGGCTGACTACAACAAGCTAAGCCTGTAATTTACTAAACCTTGGTTTATAATTCTAATTATTTTCTCTCAGAATTAATATTATATGAGTTTCCTTTTTCTAACCCAATAAAATTTTCTTGATTCTCTCCCCAAACACAAGATTATGAGGAACAAATACAAAATTTGTATTACCGCCTCACAAATTTAATCCACAGAGATTTTATAAGCTAACCCAGCATCAAAAAAATGCCCAAAGTATAAAAATAATCATATTTTCTAATAAGGATTAAGGAATAAGATATGATCATATGTTACACAAGAATAGACCTACAGTTCTATAAAACATTGAAGTTTATTTAGAAGGAATTTAGTTACTGAATGCATTTATTCTGATAACTCATCCCTCCCCTTCTGCTTTTACAAATTAGTCTCTTCAAAAATCCTCCATACTGCTTTGTGCTCTCATTTGAAGAAATCATTACAATTTCTTCAAGTAGTTACTCTGCAAGAAGTGTTTTCCAAAACTTAAGCAAGAAGCCTATTAAAACTATGGTTATATTTGCCAAAAAAAAAAAAAATGGTCAGCACAGGTAGCAAAGCAGGCTATTCCCACCCTCGCTACAAAGGCACTGGGAAGTAATTTGTTCTATCAGCCCCACCATGGCTCTTGCTCTCTGGGGTGCTTGATCTTATCTCTTTGAGATTAGGGCCAGCGAATGTGCTAATGGTGACCTTGTGTAACAGCTTCAGTAACTCAGGAAAAAATAAAGTTTCCCCATAAAAGATGATTCAGTCTTTGTCAGCCAGGCCATGGAGTTTTATTATTTTGGAAAACTCTATCTTTGGAAAACTATAAATTATATTTAAGAGACACATTTATATTTAGAAAAAGCATTGCTGGAAGCCTTTGCAACAAACCAGCAGAACTGGAGTCCTGGATTGATTTTGTTCTACAAACCACTCGTTTTTTCCTTTCTCTTTCTCCCCCTGCCTCCTTCTTCCTCCCTTCCTTCTTTCCTTCCTTCCTAGTTCAGTTTCATAATGAAAGATTCATCAGTTTGAGTATAATTGCAAAGCCATGCCTGCCAGTCTTTCGGAGAAGACAGGTTTTCCACAAACACACGTGTCTCATTTTGCATGCACTGGTTCAGCGTTCATATAATCATGTGTTTAATGGTGATGCCCATCATTAAAACGGCGAGTGCGAGACCCAGCCTGCCAAGTAACCAATAAAATAAATACGAGAGAGAGGGAGAGAGGGAGAGACGGAAAGAAGAAAGGGAGGGAGGGAAAGAGAGGAGGGAGGAAGGGAAGGAGGGAGGGAGGGAGAGAGAGAGAAGTAGCTCATGATAATGTTTGGAAATCTCTCAAGAGTTCTCATCAACAACTAAAGTTTAATGAACTAAACCCCAGTTGTAGTTTGATAGTGTAACATCTAGAAATCTACTTAGAAAGTTCGAAAGCTAAAGAATAGCCAGAATCTTAACTGTGCTCACACAAAAGGTTTTCTCCTGGCTGGAGCTTATGATTTTGGTTAAGATTGCATCTTAAAATATAATACATTTCGCATTTTACTATATTTTTAGATGTCAAATATTTTAATCTCTCTTATTTATTGGTTTACAGAGAGAAAATGTTAGATATGAAGCAAGGGTAACACATCTTTAAGCATTTTTTGAATACCATCTTGCAACATGGCTGATTACATAAACTTAAAGCAAATAGTATCCTGCAGCATTTTGTAGAGCAGATCCTGTTTGTACATTTAGAAGCAAACATGTAAAAATATGTGCCTATGTAAGCTAGATGGTTGCTTTCCACACTGCAGAATTTGTCCTTTTCACAATGTGTATGTTTTGTTTTACAGACAAAACATATGAAGAGGCTATGCAAGGACTGAAGTGGGAAAACAGAATTCTCTCTTCTGAGGTGGGTAGCGCTCCAGGTGGGAAGACAGTGAAATATGGATTACGTCTTTCAAAGGATCCACTGCAGACACTACATGCACCACTTGATAACCCATACTGAAAGAGGCACAAACTCATAATCCAGTGAACATGAAGACACACAGCCTCTATGTAAAGTTATATAACTTTAGGAAAATTAAATGCTTTTCTATTTTCTCCCTTTCTTTCATGTGCATAAGCACATCTGAAAGAAGAAAAACAGAGGTAATTAAACAAAAAATTCTAAAATAGAAAATACTTAAGGGCAAGAAAACAGATAGGCAGGAGGGAGGTCAGAATGATCTCGCCCCTGAGTAGTGTGCTGAGATATTGTCTATGTTAGACTTAAACACAAAGACTCCACATTTTCAAAATATTGCCAGAATGGTATGTTCTTTGAGACTAGATTTTCTCACAGTATACCACTGGAAAAGTAAAAAAAGATGGTCTGTCTGCAGATGTTCTATTAAATTATTTAATTAAATCCTGCTTCTCTCTGTGATAAGCCCAGAACTTGTGCTGGAAAGAAAGTAAAATAGCAAAGATGCCATAATCTCTCATATAAATGCTTTCTAGTCTCTAATCAGCTCACTCTAACAACTTTAATTTCAAAGAGAAAATTCTAATATGATAGCAAGTTGTCAGGCAGTAATATTTCAGTGCAAATGTTTCTGTCACATGACTTGCAAACTCATTAATGCTAATCTGAGATAGTTACAAACACCGGCATTTCATTAAAATAAAACTCAATTCCATCGTTTGTGCTTATGATCAATACTCTTCATAGGTAACTACTGTTTCTGAATTTTCTGGGAGGTCCTCTGCATATTTTCCTATTTAATCTCTATAAAGTGATTCTATAAAGTAGACATCATGCTTTCCACTTCATTAAGGTGAATAGATGCTCAAGAAAGTGAACTGACTAAAACTAGTCACGAGTAGACTTCTACTGAAATTCTGTAAGAGAGAAATCAAGTCCCACAAGATTACCTGAGTGGCTCCGGTCACACGAACGACTGGGAACCCCAGCCTTTGGATTTCCATCCAGCACCCCTTGTGCTGTTTCTCCTCTTTCTGTCCATGCTTCTACTGCAGTTTAAGGAGTAGGTGGTCTCTACAGCCACGGATTGAAAATGGAGAAATCTCTACAGACTGAAGTCTCAACTGATGCATCATTTTGTAACCCAAAAGCTAACGTTATTATAAACGATAGGGTAGAAACTTCTTAATCGAAAGTAGGTTTTAAATTAGTAATCATTTATTCAGTGACTATGAGAGCCGGCACATTTTCCACAATGTAATAAGTCACATTGATTTTTAAATGGAAAAGAAGAGCTATTTTCCCCCATCTGGGACAACATCCTGTAGTTCAAAGTAAGGAATACGCATCTGTGCTGCCACAAGTTCTGTGCACCGTGTAGCCTAAGCAAAGGCCTGCTGTGAAGAGGCTCAGGATTGGCTGTGTCCACCTCTTTACCACACCTCAGGAGGGCAGAAGTGTGTCTAGGGCTCTTACTGCATCCAGAGTACATCAACCCAGGGAGCCAGACGTTCTGCGGTCATCCCAATAGGAAGAAGCTAAAACCTCTGACCCCTCTAGGTAGGCCTAAAAGGTCAAAGCCATTCTAATAAAATCAACTCAAATACTTCATTTAAATACTTGCCCCCCATTAAGATTATTGGTACATTTAAATCAAACAATACAGTTACATTCATCATTGGGATCTTGTACCTTTACATGACAGGTCTTGGTTCTCATTTTTCCCCCATTCCCCTGCCCTCCCTTCACCCCTCCCTATTCACAAAGACTTTGTTCACATTTTTCTTTTCCTTTATTTCCTTTCCCCTCCCCTTTCCACTTCCCCTTTAGCTATTTTCTTCCTATTTCACGCTCTCAAGTATATCATAAGGTTCAAATGGTATAGTTGGGGTTTTTAATTATGAACTCATACTTTGAAGCCCAAATTACTTGAATTTCAGTTTTTGTCATACCTCAGTACTTTTTCTGAGTATTAAGAACATATTAAAGAACATGGGTTCTATATACACCTCGTGCTGGTGGTACTGTGTGAAATACAGCTATGCCCTTTAACATCTGCTCATCTGACACAGATTATAGGATTCCTGCCTGTGTGGGAACCTCTTGATTTGGAAAAATATAATGTACAAAACTCTAGATAACTGACCAAGGAATTCAGGTTTTGATATTCAGCTTCTATTAAAGGTTTCATCACAAATAATTCATTCTGAAATTAGAAGTGCTAAGCACTCCCATCCAGCAGGTCCCAAATTAAGAACAGACCTAGTCCTGGCCAAATAGAGAAAGCATGGGACTAATAATTAGGGCAGATGAAAAAGCAGCATTTGCAAGAACAGACAGATACCTCTATCGCTAGGAGGAGCTACTGAGTCCCTTTTAGTGTGAGGCACTAGACTTCTGTGAAGCACTGATCAAAAGAGAGATTCATGGTACCATCTCATTATCCTTGAGTAAACTGCGCATCTGTCTTGCACCTGAACTTTCTTATGGTGTCGGGGAATGGTGTGAAAACTTGTGAAAGACCGAAAACTTGGAGGGTTGGTGATGAACGAGCAAATGAAAACTCATCACAGCAACTGCAAAGAAACACCGTGAATTGTGATTTTATTTTTTGGTCATTTGAGTTATTGCTTTAAAATTTACTTTTATCTAGACTTGCTTTAAAATAAGGGAACAAAATTTGATGTGAATTAATTCATCAGTGCCAGTTTTGTAGAATCTGGAAAGGAATGAACACTTCCCTCTCTTTAAGGAATGAAGTTTTTTGAAACCTAGATAGTTTGCTGTTTAACTGTGGTTGCATTGAATTATGTTGTGTTTCTACGTTAGTTCCAGCTATATTTACACTCTTGTGAAAAGCTTTTTATAAACAACATAGTTTAATAACCTTCACTTCATTTCCTCCATTTTCCAGATGAAAAACTGAGGGTCAGAGATTTATAAAAAGTCAAGTAACTAAGAAGCACCAAAACCTGAAAGCAAAATTTTTAGATTTCAACTTTATCACTTTTTTCCATGTATATGGTTTCATGCTGTACAGTGTAAAGATTGATTAGATAATTACATCATGCTTATTAAAAATTCAAACTTATTTTATTTACTGAGTCTGTGGTCAGGATTCAGGCTCATACACAAAGAAATTAGTTTTGGGAACAAGTTTCTAAACTAAAATGTAATCAATTCAGTGTCCTTCCTTATAGACATTGCCTGACTTTCTGACTGATTTTTAAAATTTTTATTCATTTGCTTTTTTCCTCCAACTTAATGAAGTAATGGTAAACAAATAAAAATTTTATGTATTTATGATATATAATGTGATGTTTAATATATGTATAAATTTTAAAATGACTACATAAAGCTAGTTAAAAATACATCACCTTGCCTATTATCATTTTTTGTGGTGAGAACATTCAAGATCTATTTTCTTAATAATATTTTTTAAGTACAACTGACAAAATTTAAACATGTGATTAAATCAAGTTACCATCTCACTTATTATTTCTATCAGTCAGTGCTTATTAGAGAAATAGACAATGCAAGATAGGGAAATATATAACATTTACAAGATTGGCTTACAGTGAGCACCTACAGGGTCTGCACTGGAAGCCAGGAGACAACATCCAAGCTGAAGGTGAGGAATGGCACTTCTCCAGAGAAACAGAGCAGCCTCCATCTTCATTTCCCTTTATACCACTCAGGCAACGAGCCTATTGGTTGCTGTCGCTCACACCCAGCAAATCCTAGCACATCTTTAGTACACCCTTCAGCCACACCCAGAACTATGCTGATCCAGTTTTGTTGGGCATTTCTTACTCAAGCTGACACAATCACCTATCACAATCCACCCCTTGTCAACTTGGTGACAAGACACATTTCTTTAAATCATAGTCTCCAGATACAAAGACAAGTTTATAATTGTGCCTAACATCTTACAACTATCCTGTATACAAAGAGAAACTCATTAATTCTCTCCCTAGAATAGGAGGCAAGTTTTCTTTGGGCAGTGCTTATCCTGACATTTTATAACTTGAATATGAAAACATAGGTTTACCAATACTTAAAAACCAATGCTCAGTATATGAACATAATATTACATAGGCTGCATATTAAAAGAGAACTGTTACAATTGCAATCCTTGCTCTGGTAACTGATCATGGATCACAGCTGGTATTTAGAAATACCTTTTTCTACTACCCATTCTGTATTCCCTTGGCCTTCAGCAAGCGTCTCAAGTCTTGGTTCCTTCCCTGGAGGGTTGATCCACACCTTCATTCCTGAAGGCTCTGGGCCATTTGCCATCCTGCTTGGGTCAGGTTGTTGTAGTTTCCCATTGACCTTAATAACAAGGCATGGTAACCCTAAAAGGGATCCTGAGGGATCTCCTGCTCTCCAAGTATATTCCTCCTTTCCCTCCCTGTGGAGTAAATAGCTCAATTCTCCTTGATAGTCTGGGTCAATCACTCCTAACAACACTGCAACTCCGTTTTTAGCTTATTACTCATAGGCACGAGAAGACCAAAATGGCCAGGGGAGGTCTTAGCTACCAGTTTGATGATGTCATTGTTTTTTCTGGTACAAGCCTTCTGCCCTCTGGAACTAAGACTTCTAAGCCAGAAGAGCATAAGGCAGCAGGAACAAGAAGCAAAAAATTTTGCTAGTGGGTCACTAATGTAAACAGTGAGTACTCATTCCCACTTCTACCCCTTGATTTCTGGACCCATGAATCCTGGCTGCGGGAGACACAGTGCCACACAGTAGATCTGGGACCTTTTGAAGAACCTTTCCCCAGCCCCAGAAGCTTTTGCTACCTAGCTGGCACCGTAACTGTCTTCAAAAGACCGTTCCATTTTTCTATTAATCCAGCTGCTTCTGGGTGGTGAGGAATATGTGAATTCCATGACCATGAGCTAGCTCATTGCCTCACTTCTTTGGCCGTGAGATGTGTTCCTTGATCAGAGGCAATGCTGTGTGGAATTTCATGATGGTGGCTAAGGTGCTCTGTGATTCCATGGATGGTAGTTTTGGGAGAAACATTTTGTACAGGGAAGGAAAATCCATATCCAAAATAAATGTCCTTTCTATGGTGGAAGTGGTCTAATATAATCAACTTACTAGCAGGTCTCAGGCTGATCACCCTAGGGAATGGTGCCGTATTGGGCACTCAGTATGGGTCTCTGCTGCTAGCATATTTGGCACTCAGCAGCAGCTGTAACAAAATCAGCCTTGGTGAATAGAAGTCTGAGTCACTGAGTCCATGCATAACCTCCATCCCTGTCACCATGGCCACTCTGTTCATAGTCCATTGGGCAGTGACATTGTGGCTAAAGAAAGAGGTTGACTGCTATCTACAGAATGGGTGGTCCTATCCACTTTTTACAGAATTTACTGAGACTTTTGATCACAAAAAGATGTTGAAAAATTTTAAATGCTTTTTGATGAGATGAGCACAGAATTTCGTATATATTGAGTCATATGTGTAGAATTGGTAGGTTGTATGGTTTTAGGAATATATCCATTTCTTCTAGGTTTTCTAGATTGTAGGCATATAATTGTGCATAGTAGTCTCTGATGATCCTTTGCATTTCTATGATCTTCTGGACTTCTTCCCCTCACTACTCTTTCCCCATTGTGTAATTAATCACTAATAGGGCACACTTAAGTCACCCCAACAGGAGGTGAACAGACAGGCTATTTATAGAAGAGCATTAGAGGTGCCATAAGAAGGGAATGTTGTTCTTGTTTCTTGAACTTTTTTCACTCTAGAATATACTTTTAAGATTTCTTCATGTTAAAAATATGCACCTACTGTGTTCTCAATGGCTATCCAAGCATTCAAAATATAAACTTCCATTGTTTTATTTCCTATTGAGAATCAAATTGAGAGGCAATTTTGTTTCAGGTATTTGCTATTATCACATGTCCTTCCAATAGCGTTCGTCCAAGTCTTTGGCCATGAACTGGAGAGAGATGTCTTTCTTTATCGCTAAAATACTTCTTGACTTAAATAATGATAATAATAATGTTTTGATGAACATTTACTTATTATGTATTTTTCACCCTTTACTGTCAATATATCTGTGTTCTTATATTCAAATGATGTCACCTTTTACAGCATATAATTAAATAATTGCTTTTTCCACCTTTCAGTTATAATAGTGTGTGATTTAGTACATAATATCTAGTGTGTAATATTTAGTGTATAATTTAGTGTGATTAAATTATTATACTTATAATTACATGTATCATAATTATTAATATAATTGGTTTTAACCCTACAATATAGTATTTGTTCTCATTAGTCTTCATTCCTTTGCCTTAGTTCTAACTTTTTTGAAAATAACCATAAGTCTCATCACTTCTTTTTAACTCTTCTACTAGATTTTTTTATTATTTCTCTGTTTATTATTTATTCAGATGACCCAGAAGTTATAGTATTCTCTTTGATTTATTATGGTTTATTTTAAATTAATATTTTTAAACATTTCGGGATCATAAGATTCCTACAAAAGCATTCATGCTATTTTTACCACATAATCAACATCTCCCTTTATTGCAAGCACCTTTTCAATATGTTTCTGTTTGTTGCTTTAAATATTTAACATTTTTTAGATTTACTCATATATTTTCCACATTTATTTTTGCTTTTTCATTACTTAATGTAGTTTTGTTTCTAACAACAGGCTATTTTTCCTTCAGCAGAAAATCTCCCTTACATTTTCAATGTCTATTAACAATAAAATTCAATTTTTATTAGGGATCAAGTCTATTAATTTTGTTCAATTTAAGATATTTTGAGTATGGGATAAGGTATGTAATTATAGATAGGTAGTTTCATATTTTCTGTCAACAGTTTAAAAAAATTCCATCCCTTTGAGTTATAGCTTCTATAGTTTCAGCAGTAAAATTACCTGTTAGAATTATTCATTTCCAGCTAGTATGTTTTCATTATTTATATACTGTTATGCTTTTCTTGTTTTATTAGTTTATCAGAAATTTGTCTATGGTGTTCCTGAGTGAGATTTTCTTTCTAATTACCCTACTTACATTTCCATAAATTTTTTCAATCTATAGATTGATTTCTGTCATGGGTTTTAGAAAAATTTCAGCCAATTTTGTTTCAAGTATTGCTTCTGTTCCACCCTTTATCCTCTGGGGTCACATTTCCATAAGGTGGAACTCATGTGTTTGTTTAAATATGTCTTTAACCTCTATCCTGTTTTTTAAGCTTATTGTCTCAAGTGGATATTTTTCTTCAATTATATTCAGATGATTTGGAATCTCTTGCATGCCAGAAAGTAAAGAAGTGCTCAAAAATTGTTGGAGTATGTCAAAAGGATATTAGTTTCTGCTGATAGCAAAATATGAAGAAATTTGAGAAAATAAGTTATGATGGTGATGAATTATAGTCCATAAAATGAAATACGTATCTCTGACTTCATAATGATATAAATTGATCACTTAATCAACAACTCAGTGGTACAATACACCAATAAGTAGTGAGTGATCACTGTTGCATATCATAAAAGTCTGCAGAAGGAATGAGAGAAACAGAAAGTCCCCATGTGGCAAGCCACACAGTGATAATTGTCGCACATTAAAAATCATTAATGGCTGCTGAAGTACGTAGGTGAAAGTATGATGAGAAACAAGATGTGGTCTCAATGTGCTTCTTCCCATGATGCTATTAATCACAAAGGAGAAAAGGAAAACCTGGAGAAACCTGGTAGACATCACTTTAATCAAGCTACTGAAAGTCACCCTTTCTAAGTAGTAAGGCATCAGGCATCATACAGGCAGTACTCTTCAATAGTGTCAAGACTGAGACAAAAACACTGAGAAACTCCTTGATTAAAGGAAATTAGGAGATATGAAATCTGAGATTGGGTCCTGGACTAGAAAAAAGAAATGAGATATTTGGTGAAACTCAAGTCAAATGGGATTTTCATTAATACTACTTCAACGTTAATGTTAATTTTTCTTTTCCCAGACATAAGCTGTAGGAGAAGATGCTAAGCTGCCTAGGCATGTATCCTTTAACGATAGTGGTGTGTTCCGAGAAATGTGTCACTGGGCCACTTGTCCTTGTGAAATAAGAGTGGAATGTAATTACACAAACCAACATGGTGTGGGGCAGTCACTTGCGGTCACTTGTCCTGGGTCTTGTAGAGAAGTAGAAAGACTGCACTCTAAGCTTACAGAAGCATCTGTGACAAATACAGAAACCAGTAACATTCAGTTATTATTATTGTTGAGTATAATGTACCGTCCATAACTGAGGTATTAATACACTTTTGTAAGAGTGGCGGCACAGTGAGTTTATTTCTGGAAGCTTCAATACAACCAAATGAGTGGTACCTTGTGATGTGACATTGTAATGGCTACGACATCACTAGGTAATTTCCCTCCCATTTATATTCTTACGGAACCACAGCTCTACACGGGTCCATTGTCTCCCAAGCACCATGATGCACCAGATTTACTGTCTTCAGTATTTGGAGCAATACCTAGCGTGTGGCCACATACTGACTTGGAGAGTACTGTAAGAGCTGACCCCACGTAATGTCTTCAGGGTGACCCTGGGTGACGCTCTTAGCAAGACTCGGTGCTCCGCGACCTCCCTTACTGCTGCCTGGCCCCTCTATTTCACCCATCACCTTTTTCTTTTTCTTTTTCTTTTTGGTGTTACTAGTGACCTTACGCTTGCGAGGCAGGCGGTGGAACCACTGACTAAATCCCGGGCCAAACCAAACAAACAAACAAAAAAAATCCCGGCTTTTGCCCATCACTTTTGCTCCTCTTTGGGAAAGGTTAGAAGCTCCATGCCCTGCTTTTTCAGTGTAAAAATACGGATCAACACGAGACACCTGAATTTAAAGACTTCTTATCATTTTCATTTCACAGATGACAAAATTGAGGTCCAGACATGGCGTCGGCTGACCCCAAACTGCAAGTTCATTAACTATTCTCTAAGATGGCTTCCACACGGTCTGCAGCTTAGCGATTATGCGGTGTTGCAGGGAGAGGAGACTCGTGGGATAAGAAGACCTCAGTCTTTCCTGCCTAACACCTGTTTAAAGGCCCGAGCTGGTGAGTTTAAGTGAGATTTTAAGTGAGAACTGTGGTGTTTGGCTCATTTGGAGTCATGGGTGCGAAGGAATGGCTGTAAAACAAAATTAATATGTCCCAAGTAACCTGTGCTCTATCCTTCTTTTTAATGCTTTGTCTTGGGGAACTAGCTACAATTTCATGTATTTTGAATATAAATGTGACTGTGTGCAATGTAATTACACTGTGCTATTGTGTACATTTTAAATATAAAGCAATTATGTACATATATCCCATAACATCATGTTGTACGCCTTAAATGAAACATACATATATATATATATCCATGTTAAAAGAACACATTTTAGCTACTCTTCACACAAAAGCAAAAGACAATAGAGTAATTCAATTCAATTCAGCCTTTTGATAGGGAGCTCATCATTCATAAGTCATTAGCTTAGTTTTTCACTATTTCCCCAGCTTTATTGAGGTACAACTGACAAAAAAATTGTATACATTTAGGTGTTCTGAAACAAACAAACCAAGAAAACCTTTTTAAAAAAGTTTTTTGCTACATTCACCATCATTCACATGAATGCTTCTGACAGAAGTGCGGGGGATTTCCCCACACTGGGTATTTCTGCAGCAGGTACCAGCTGGGTGTCCTCTAAGTCACTCTGATTCTGAGACTGTCATGCTCACAGGTGAGGGTGGGGTCTGTTGTGACTCAGATGTCAGTCGTGGGGCCCAGGTTGTGACCTGAGCCTCCTGCCACTTTCTCTTCCATCTATTTCTCCTGCTGGGGGAGCTCACAGAATCCAGGGAAACATTTTATTGACATTTATGCTTCACTAATGAAGGCTGCAAAGTGCATCAAGATGAATAGCCAGATGGAAGAGATGTACAGGGCAAGAGATCAGATATTTCTATTACATTGTAATCATAGTATGTCAAACGTATTGTCTTGACATATGTGTACATTGTGATTACCATAATTAAGCTGATTAACACATCTATCACCTCGTACACCTACCTTTCAGTAAGGGTGTGTGTGTGCGTATGTGTGTGTCTGATGGGAACGCATAAGATCTATTCGCTTAGCACATTTGAAATATTTAATGCACATCACTTATTAGCCATAGTTGCCTAGTTGTACATTTACTCTCCAGATATTTATTATCTTGTAAATAAAAGTTTGTACCTTTGGACTAACCCCTCCCATTTCACCCACCTCCTACACCCTGGACACCAGCTTTGTGTCTCCATCTCTGGGGGTTTGATAATTTTAGAATGTACATATAAGAGAATGTACATGGCATTTTCCCTACTATGACTGAGTTATTTCACTTAGCATAATGACTTCCAGGTTCGTCCATGTTGTCACAAATGGCAGGCTCCACTTTTTTAAGGCTAAAGAGTATTCCACTGTGAGCAGATACCATATTTTCTTCATCCATTGATCTAAACATTTAGACTGCTTGTCCACCTTGGCTTTTGTGACAAGTGGTTCAGTGAACAGACATGGAGAACTATTCAACATCTGATTTCAATTCCTTTGGCTCTGTACTCTCGTAGAAGGATTTGAGATTTCCACTTTTATCTTACTGAGCTTGCAGACCTTGCTCTAAAGGGTTTGTAATATCTGGTGTATCCTAATTTTGCCCCAACTTAGCACATGGATTTTTGGAGTCCCAGTTAAATGCTAACATGGTTTCAGTGCTTCTGAAGCTTAGGAGAACTTGAACTCTAAACTCTGTGGCCACCGCTGCTGAAATCCTTTCTTAGCTCCCTTATTTTCATTTCTTCCATTTTCTCCAGGTCTTGCCCTGAGAAGACTTAGGAGTCTGCTAACAGTTTAAGGGGGACAATGTGTACATTTCAAAGTGCCCTCCTTTAGAGTATGTTCTCTTCCTTACTGCAAGTCTCTCTGGAAGGCCCAGAGCCGTGGTCCTTCCAGGTAGTACTCTGCCTCCCCCACTGACTGAGAACTACAAGAGGTCAGAGAGGAAAGGCCAGGAAATTGTAGGGGTAAACGCACTTCTCTCAAGAACTTCATTTCTTACACTTTCTGTCTCCTTTCTACTTTCCAGTGCTTTCAGGGAACTGAGTTTTGCTTTTTAGCCTTAGGTTTTTGTGTTTTGTTTTTGCTTTCTCCCCAAACCCCAACATCTATAATTTTTATCTGTGAAAAAGTGAGTCTTTTCCACGATGACCAGCACTGGGATTCATGTGTAATTCGCTTCTCTGCAGAGGGGCGGGGGGAGCAGCTGATCCTCGATGAATCACAGGCACACAGAAAGGGCAACATATACACCTGATTTCTCTCTGAAGCAGAAGCCCAGGCTCAGGGCTGTAACAATGGTTTCCATTCACATCACCTTCCAGGGCAGAGGGCAGGTAGAGCGGAGTGGAGATTTTATCAGGTGAGGCAAAATAATATTCCGATCATAGCTCCCTTCTTAGCAGGAGTGTAACTGAAATGGAACTGAAATGTTTGTTCTCTCCTGACAGCTTATCACTGGCAATTATTTTACTTTCATCTTGCTTATATCTCCCTGAATGAGTCGTTGGGCTTCTTTTATAATAACCCATCAATCACCGCTTAGTTCTTACTTACTCATATGCTTATCAATGTTTGTTTCTATGTTACCATTGTGCCACACACCATTCTGGATTTAAATTTCTTGATACAAGGTTTTGAGAGTACCCCTCAGTCTTTCTATACAAATAGTGTCATTTCGCTGTCTCTTGGACAATGGCTCAGCTAGACATTGCAGGTTGGCAATTATTTTCTCTCCCCGATAAAAGAATGATTCCACTGTTATCTAGCCTCTTACTTCAGGTGAGACGACTGTGTCTGTAGTTTATATTATTTTTAAAATTATCTTTTCCCTCTCACTGCGCTTAGAATTTCATCAGACATGTTCAAAATTATTTTATAAAAGTGGTATGAATGTGGATTTGTTATCATGAGTGAAGGGGTCCGGGACAGGTTCCTGGATTCTTGTATGTAACAAAGAATTGGTTGTGGCAAGCAATGGTGAGGGAAAAGCTGCGAAGTTTATTACGGTGAGTGCTTGGTTAGAGTGATTATGCCCAGGGTGCAAGAGGAAAATGGCATGAGCTGTGGGGGTTCAAAATGTTGCAGGGTCTGGGTGCCTCCTCTTGGGTCTTTGGTGCAGGACTGGAAACATGACTGACTGTGAGCGGTGTCATCCCTACCTACGCATGTCCTTTCCCATAATTCGCTCTGTTATAATAGGAGGAATGAAATGTCTTCCATATATTCGAACCTTGGTCTCTGGGGGAGAGCATGTTACTGTAGATCTTACCGGAGGATTTGCTGTGCACAGGTCACTGTTTGGGATTCCGGAATTTTCCAGGGCAGGGTTGGAAGGTCTTTGCTTTTCTTGTCTCTTCCTCCTTGTAGTAAGCCCTAGGACAAGACAGGGCATGTGACCTCAGGGATTTGTTCGGTTGGGGTTCAGGGAAGGGAGTAGCCCTGTAGCTCCAATGGAGTATCTAGATTAGATTTATTTTTTACCTTTTCTGTACAATTGACTGTGTTTCTTAAATATGAGAATTCTTGCTTTTCATTAATTGTCGCAAATCACAGTCACTTTCATTACGCCATTTATAGGCCATTTGCTCTGTTCCTTGATAAAGAATCTGTATCTTAGAATGGCTGAGTCCTGTAGGCTGTTTTTCTTAATTCCTTAATTTACATCTTCAAAATTTTAATGTAGTTTTTCTTCATAGATTTTACTTTATTTTATTTTATGTTGTTTTATTTTAGAGACAAGGTCTCACTATGTAACTCAGGCTGACCTCAAATTCACAGTGATCCTCCTGCCTCATCCTCCCAAGTGCTGGGATTACAGATGTGCACCACAACTCCTGATTATCACAGATTTAAGAAGTGACTCTTATTCACTAAGTTCTTGGTATCTGAACTTGGTTTCTATCTGTAAATACATGTTCAAATGGATTAGGTCTTTCAGTGTCTTAATTGCTTTCTCTCTCTCTCTTTTTTTTTTTTGGTCCATACTCTTGTGTTCTGGGGATCCTCCTGCATCTGCATCCTCAGTAGCTAGACTTACATATGCCTGACACTGTGTGTGTTATAATTTAAAAGCAGACTTTAATCCTGGATAGCAGTAACTGAAGACATGGCCCCCAGAAAAAAATTTGTATTTCATGATTTGAATTGTGAATAGACTGAACAAGTAGGCAGAAACTGGGAAAGGCACTTAGAGGATATTATATTCCCTCTATTTTTATGCAGATATGCACTTTCTAAATAAAAATAAGTTAAAATAATGCAGCTCATGAAAATCAATTTTCAGCATGATGATTAATTACTGATGATACCTGGTATGCTTGAAAAATCCCAAGACAGTGGACATTAAGTTGTTCTCATCACTAAATGACAATTTTGTGAGGCAATGAATTTGTTATTTAGGTGGATTAAACTCTTCTATGATGCATATATACTTCAGAATTATAAATGCATATAATTATGTCAAGTTTAACAATAAATAAATATTTTTAAAACAAACTTACTTCTGACAGGAGGTAGTTTTATCCTAGGTATTTTTTGCCCATGTGCATGTATCAAAGAGTCTCCTTCCTAGGTTAGCACACTGCATGGTGATATAAAAACTATTTATGCCTCCCTTCATTTTGTTTGCTCAAAGGAGTACTAAGTGTGTTATGCTAAATGTAAACACTGCCAACATCATTCCTGCTCCCTTAAGTGTGGTCGCCTAGTAAGGCCGGTATGTCCTTGTCATTAAAGTTTACAGCTCAGGGCCTGAGAGGAGAGCTGGGGAGAGAGGCAGCAGGTCCAGAGCATCCTGCAGCAGGGGCACTGAGAAAAGGCCGTGCTTCAGATGCAGTGAGGCACTGCCACTAATGCGATCATTGGCTCTCTTCCCTGGGACAAAATACCCAACAGGCCCAAAGTACCGGATCTGCAGTTTACTTGGGCTCACATTTGAGGAGGTTCAGCCATGGTGGAAGGGCCTGTGAGGAGGAAAGTTGCTCATTAATTCCAGCCAGAAGCAGGCAGGGAAGGGGAAAGCCAGGGAGGGAGACACCCTAGCAGGCTGCTCTCCCTCACCTGCCCCTTCCGACCAGACGCCACCTCCTGAAGCCCCCGTGATCCTGTCACCTTCCAGCAGTCCCACATGGTCTTGGAATGGCATTTAGATATAATTCATAACATTTAAGATGTCTTATTTGGAATTGCTACCTTTGGTAAATGAAGTCACTTCAACTAGTGGGATAAAATCACTCAGCCACCTTTAGTGAAGAGAAAACACCCTCATAGGTGTCATTCTTGGCGGTCAGTGCAATGGGGATTCCATAAGTACTTTTCTATCATATCTCGTCCTCGCAAGACCCTGACAAGTGGGTGTTTTTACAATAAAAAAAACCTAACTAGGAGAAAACTACTGGCGAAAGTTTACGGAGCTATTAAGTGTGTAGAAGTAGGGTTTGAATCCAGGTCTGTGAGCTCCTAAATCATGTTCTTTCCACTATATAATGCCGCCTCCCAAGTGGACAAATGCCTTCTCTATGGAAATGTGCTATCCTTAGCTGCCCAGATATTTTTAATATTGTGAATCAAAAGTGTACTTGATGTAAGTATTGGGAAGCATTTAATTCATTATAGTCATGTCTACTTTCTTTAAATATTTATTATTATTATTATTATTATTATTATTATTATTATTTGCCTTGAATCAGTGTGAAGGGATATCCGGAAGTGTCAGACAGGAACATTAGCATCACAGGTAAATGTTATGGCATAAAATTTATGATGTAAATATTTACAGTGTATGAGCCAGATCACCAGAGTAACCTCTAGTTCTTGTCGTAGTTTTTGAACCTTGGGTTGCAGTAAAAGGAGAAAGAAAATAGAACAAACTTCCAGTGCTGGTGACACCAGCATAGGGCTCAGAAGCTTTTGTTTTTTCCACGGGCTTTCGTTGTGGACCAGAGCACAGCTGATAGCGAACAGCACTGTGATGCCCAAGAGCAGTGTATTAGAACCTCCTCCACAGTCTTCTGCGGAGCCTGACTTTGACCCTGTCATGTTTAAATCCTGCACTGGCCACTTTTGGAGATGAAGGAATAGCCCACTACTTTTCTCAGCAGAAAAAAAAAATCACATATGGGTTGAAAAATAAAAACTTATAGCACTTTGGATCTTTTTCCAAGCAAGAGAAGACTTCTGGAAAAGAAATAGTCTGGAAAATATTTTTTCCAGAAACTATCACTTCATTATCTCCGTAAAAGAGTTCAAGTTGCTGAATTACCTCCTTCTGTGGTATGTCTCTTTCATCCTGTCAGTACTGCTGTATAGAAGTCTTCAGTGTCCAAACTTGGAATTCATTAAAAAGTAGTTGAAAACTATGCACACTAGCCAGTTACTGAAAATGGAGATTTTTTTTTAATATTCTTGTTCTGCCCTGTTGTAGCCATATAATTTAAGGCATTTCTAAACATCAAAGAGAAGCATTTTCAATGAGAGCATTTTGGTGCAATTCCCTTCCATTTTTCTTACAGGACACAGAATTTGGCAGAATAGCCCATTTCTTTAGACTGTCCAATACAAAGAGAGGGTAAGGCTTTTGTTATTTTTAATTAAAAATAAAATTCTCCATCTTCTTGATGGATAGATATTGTGGTGATTCTCATTGGGACAGTTTCCATTGGATTTGGTCTTTCATTCACTGTCCTGAGAGTGGCCAAAAGATCTGCCCTGCCCTGGGCAAAAATTTAAGGGATTTGGTTGAGGACCTTTGCAGTACACCCTTTAAGTTTCGCTTCTTGATCTAGAGCCGTAATGTCACACCTGTAACCAGGTATGCCTCTCATGGGACCCTCAGCTAACTTGGCAGTGACCTTGTGACTCTTGCTAACTGTATCCGGTTAATTCCTACAAAGCCACTTGCTGGGAGAATCCCTGATCAAAAGGAAAGTGTGTGCATATCAAGTGAGATAAACAAGGAAGTGAAATCAAAACCCATTAAGTGGAAGAAAAGTATCATGTACAGTCCGAGCTAGGTTATGGGAGTGGGTGGGAAATCCCAAGGCAGAAGAGGGAGAGAGGGAACAGCGCAGGGAGGAAGAGGATCTGTGCATGAAAATTACCTTTGAGGCTTCCTGTAAGAGGTGCTGGCTGTGTTAGTTTGGAGGAGGCACAGGTAAAGGAGGAAGCCGGCTTACACAGCTCTGCGATGGTCGCTTCATCTCACTGTGGTCAAGTATGAGACCTGCTGGCCACGGGGTCAGTGAGCTGAGGAACAACAGGGCTGTCTCTCACACAGCACCCAGGGAGAGAGCTTCCGAGCCGGCCGGAGGCCACGGGGTGAATGGGCTTCGGACAGCTCAGGTGTGGCCTGCAGTTGAGGGTCAAGGTGGTAAGTATGGGAACAAAGTTATGACAGGTCTATATAAACATACATAAAGAACATGGAATCCCTGTTAGTATTTTAAAGTAATTGCCTAAGATACGTTCACATTTTCTGTACATATCACACGCACCTAAAGTAGCATCAACATAGGAATTGCATGCTGATTGTGTATATTCCCAGGAATGTTCAGAGGATATTCCAGGACATCGTAGCTTATGTTCGAATAGCTGCCACGAGAAAGCATTGTAGAGAATTCACCGTCAGTTTGTGAACATGCACATTTCACGATTCTGTTCCACACTGTTTCATTTCGGGCACATTCTGTCGGGCTTGGTGTTCCTTTCATTGCACCGATTTTAAAACAGTCTATTAAGTTGATTAAGATGATTCACAGTTGCAGGTGCTGTCCTTCTCCAGTAAACTGTTAATAACATAATCATTCACACTTGCAAACTGATTCAGCATCTGGCTCCAAGCTCCCTCCTTCCTGGCCCAGTAGGACCTAGAGCAATATTCGGGGGCGGGGGGACCCGCAGTAGTACGGCGATATGCACCGTGGCTGTCCAGACATGTCGACTTTCCCTTCTCGGCTTTACTTCGCCAAGCTGCACAGGCCTTGGGAAGTGGTGGAGAAGACAGTAAGACGCTGCAATTCCGTGGCCCCCTTTCAGACCCTGCGGTGCTGAAGTATTGGGGGTAGTAATTAGCAGTCACAGCACCTTCAGGATGCTGGGGGAAGGGCAATGGCTTTGAAACCCACCTCAGACCAGCACTCAAGGCAGCAGTTTACAATAGGAAGCAAAGAAGATTGTGTCTAATTAGAACTTCAGGATCATTTTAAAAGGCTTGGGGTAATTACTTGAGCAGGAAGGGGTCCAGGTCGAGGGTAACGCCTCTCGTCAGGAGAAAAGGCCTATTTATATTCACGCACTCATTCAACTATAATTTGTAAGTGCCCATGAAGGAAAATAAGAGCTCTACCTTTCAAAATGTTGTGTTAAGTATATTTTAAGGTACCGTAAGCCGTGATTTTTACTGGAACTTTACATCATTAAATAACAAATGACCTGTTAATTCAATATTAAATTTAGTCCGGTCCTGAGTTAAAGGCACAAACTCTGAAATTTTTGCTCTAGAGAAAGTCAAACGAAAACTACTTGACTAGACAGTCTTTGCAAATGTTTTAATCAGTGCATATATTTAAAACGGTCTTGAAATACAACTTTTTCTAAACAAGCTTTTAAAAACATCAGATTGTAGAAAACTATAGGACAAGGCGACAATCACTTTAAATTTTATAATTAGGGAAAATTCCACTGATCCATAATGAGAACAGAATATCTTGGCTACCCGATGAAAGAAAATTAGTGTGAGGTGGTTGATTAGTTTCAACTTCACGTAGTGACTCAGTCAAAATAACATGAACCCCTTTACTAACAGACACATGTGTAGCCTTGCGCACACGTGCTTAAAGGAGAGACGCTCGCTCTGAGATCCAACGGAGCAATGCTGCTGGCAGGGTTAGCTTTCTTAGCGCGCGCCTTCTGCAGCGTACTTGAGTTATTTTCGGCCATTTGTTGCGTGGGTTAAGATAAAAGACAGCAAATACTCAGCACAGGAAGATGCTTTGCAGTGCACCTGCTGGCGGCTGGGGCCGCGGGTGGCCATCACACAGCTCTTCATTTTTGCTCTTGAGGCTCCTAACACTCTGGGATTAACCGTGGCAGGAGTCCTCCCCTTGGCCTTGTGAGTGACCTCTCACCTGACACGAGGTCAAGGCCGTGCGGCTGCACCATTCTCCCGGGAGAAGAAACGCTTTCACTTTGTGAGCTAGGCGGTGCTCGATTCGCGAGGTCGTCACGCAATACGAACTAGTAGGATTTGGTGACCACTGAAAGGTTTACCCTGGTGGGAAACTGAGCCCACGGTTGTCCTAGGGAGGAGCAAAGAGGAGAAGAGCAGCAGACAAGAGCCAGCGTCATGGCTGGGAACTCAGAAGAATTAGAAGGGAAGCTAGATTAGGTATGGTATTAAAATTTCATAAAACAGTTTTTAAAAAGGAGCATGAGAAGGTCCATGATGTGTCTTATAGTTTTCCTGCTTTCTCTTTCTATGTCTTTGATTTCAAAACTCATAGAAGTAAAATTTCCAGGCTGGAACTTTGATTTCAGGACTATTTCTACAGTCAACCCTTTCTCTGCCTTAGACAAGCATCACTGCAGGCAGAGGTGAACAGGAAAGTGAGTTCCAAATCCCATTTCTGAGTCTACCCATTTTCCAGGGTTTAACAGCTGGGGTCTGCACTCAGGATCTCTGATCTGCGACCTCCTGTGTGACACCCAGCTCCTGGTGCTTCTGCCTGGATAGCATTGTGAGTGCCGCTCCAGAAGCTTTCACTTTTAATTGCTCTGTCCTCCTGGGACGTAGGTAGTGAAAGAAGGACCTTAAAAATGGGCCAAATATTGGGTGAATAGTCCTTTCAGGATTTCATGAAACTAACTCTAGCATCCTTACTCTGGTACAATTTAAATTGCTATTACTTTGGCAGGGGCATAAAGAGAAACAGAATAAAGAAAGTGGACCTTCCATTTTCCTGCAACTTTAAACGGAAACTTTAGCTTACAATATCAGCCTGTAATTACCCTTTCTCTTAACTATTATTAAAGCTTATATTGATCGGCCATTGAGCATGTAATAGCATTTCACTAAAATCAGAGTATCTAGGGAAGATTAGAAGTATTTACAGGAAATCTAATTTGGCTAAAAGCAAAGCATCTGCCCAGTTTCTGACTTCCTCAGCTTAAAATTCTAGTCCCAAAAGATAAAGTACAGTGATCCCAAACTAATGTTTAAATCTTCTTTTTGGTAGACTGCAATCAAATTCCCATGTAATCTCTAGTAACTCTGTTCATAAGAAACAGAAGTGGTAGAGAAATTTAAGTGGAACACTGTAAATATTAGGTAAGTAGCAGTGCGAAGGTCAAAACAAACACATACATAAACATAAAAGAGCTAATTACATAGCTAAAAAATTCTCCAAAAGAATGCTGGCAGAGAATAAAGGAAAGGTGTCAAAAGTGAATACTGTCCTTTTGCACATGACCTCAATGACGAAGTTGAGTCAAGGCATAAAATGCAGAAAAAATTACCTGGTGAGTTTAGGCTAGAAAAAGGAGTGAATGCAAAAGGGGGGGTCTTCAGAAATGCATAAACCTTACGAGAGTAAGAGTGCTTTAAACCAATAGAATTACCTTCGGAGCTGAACAAGCTCCCGGGATAAAGCTGCTCCATTTGGGAACGAGGCACTGCAGTGCCCTCACTCTCAGTATGGATGGGAACTGTGAGCCGCAGCACACAGCTGGTGAGGACGGTGTGGGCCGCGTCCTGACTCCTGAGGACGCGTGTCCTGTGCTCCCTCCTGAAGAGCATCTCATCTGGTGCCTGGAGATTCGGACAGTGCTGTGAGGTAAAAAACCAGGAAAACAGGGGAACAGGGACTACACAGGAGAGATCTGGTTGAAGAGCAGCATGCTTGACAGTAGCTCAGTGTTTCGCAGCTGACTTATTAATTCCTTATCTCTGTTTTATACCATGAAATACTCTTTGACTGTATTTGTTTGTTCATCAGTTTGGGCTCCTGAAGCTGATGACATGGGTGGGAAAGTTGAAAAGCAGAAAGGTAGCTTCTCTGGGAGGTGAGCTGTGGGCCACTGACTTCTGGTGGAGGCTTCCCCTTTACCTCCTTCTGCCTTCCCTTGTGTGAGGGGAGAAAGAGTCCTCCACTGTCCCTTCTTCTCAGTGGGCTGAAACCTTCCAGAGAGGCTCACTCATAACCTAAGTACATTGCAGAGGCCACTGCTCTGAATGCAGCATAATCCTTACAATATTTGATCATATGGACTCCAGAAGTGTTAAGAACATGGTTTAGCTTATAGCAACTTGCTCTATGGTGTTTTGGCTCATCTGCCTTAGGGATATGGTACATTTCTGGGTACCTACAGGGCAAAGAAAAGTTATAATCTCACAGAGAAGAAAAAAAAGTCCAGAATTGAGAGAATGGAACCACCTCTCTATTTCATCCATGCAAGTGTTTGTTTCTGTGTTATTTTGTTTGTGGCTCTTTCCTTTTTCTTTGGAAGTACTAGAATTGAGCCTAGTGAGTGCTGAGCAACACCCCCAATCCTTTCTTATCTTCCTTTTTTTTTTTTCTTTTTTGAGACAGAGTCTTGCTAAATTGGCTGGGCTGGATTAAAACTTGTGATCCTCCTGCCTCAGTCTCCCAAGTAGCTGGAATTACAGGTCTGTGCCACTGTGCCCAGCTCTATGTGAGTTTTAAAGCAAGAGCTGTCCATCGATTATTTATATTGCCCAGGTCATTAACAAAAGTAGCAAGTAGAAAGAGGAAAAGAAGTATTTTTCTACCACCAGGAAAGATACTGGAGTAAGCCCAATGAAATGGTTTTCTGTCTGAGGGTGTGTGGCACCGTGGGGAAGCAGGGGCTGTGGTGCACTAGGAAACACTCCTGTTTATTGAGTATAGGAACGCCACAGGTGGAGAACTCCTTCCTTCATTTTTCAAGTGAAAATTAAAATTTAAATATTCACACAAAAATCTCACAATTTTTATGTCTTGGCTCAATTAATAATACAAACAAAACAGCAACAAGAAGTCACTGCGTGGAATGAACAAACTGTCCCCTTGCATGCAGTGGTTGGTAGGCCTAAGATTCGTTACCTCTGAGGTGAAGAACTTAAGGGTATTGATTCTGAACAAAATGCTCAAGGTTTAATTTGAGTGTAACTGTTTCTCTCTCTCTCTCTCTTTCTCTCTGTGTGTGTGTGTGTGTGTGTGTGTGCGCGTGTGTTTGTGTGTTTAAGGGCTATCAGGTGGAAGAGAGGCTCAGTTTTACTTTCTGAATTCAGTGTCAGTCATATGAACCAGATCCTCATGTCTACACCCCAGCGTACTCCATGCTAGAGCCAGCTTCCTGTCCAGCCTCATGATATCAAATACAAAAGAAGTAAATAATAGGACCCGGGAGCCCAGGCAAATATAAAAGTGTCGAACAGAAAGCATAGCAGGATCCATATTTCTGCTCAGCAGGAGATCACTTTACAGATTATATGTTAGGCAGGAAATGACTTCTCTCATTAAATGATGTTTAAGTGCTCTTCCTTTCAGCATTGTCTGTGACTAAAACTTCTGATCCCACAGGAAAAAATGTACAGTACAACAAGGAGTCAGACATGGAATGCTTAGCAAAAGGCATAACTCCACAATCACGCAAATGTTCTCATTTCAAACTCCACAGGCAAACATGTTTCCTTTTTAAAAGAAGTTTTGAAAAGGAGTTAAAGATAGGGGAAATTTATTTTGTTCATTCACTCTCAAATTTTTAATGAGCTACTGCTATGATCCACATGCTTTGTTGAAGATATGGTGGCAGATAGAGCACATATACTACTTGCCTTTATGGAATTTTAAATTCTTATATGGAAGGAGGGAAAATATAGGAATAGAATAATAATAAATATGCAATATGAAGTCAAGAAGTAATTTCTAAGAAGAAATCAAGCAGTGTAAAGAGAAAGCAAGGCATATGTGTTTACTCAGGTTATTTTCTATCATAATTAAATGAAATAAAAGAATCAATGATCTAACTGTAGAGAAAAAAAGAATTCCTGGAGGAGAAAACAGCACATGTGAAGATGAGTTCTAGGAAGCCAGCAAAGGAGAGGGTATCAAAAATCAGACAGCTAGTTATAACAAAGACTGTATCTTAAAGAAATACATAAATAAAGCCTGAGGGTAAATCATGAGGTCCTCAAAGCAGAAGCCCCAGTTTATAGTAGATGATCCTAGGGAAATAAGTTCTACAGGGCCAAGATAAGAAATGTCAGAAATAAAACGAGTTATTCATCTTTATTACTTTGAGATTGTTCACTGTTTCTTCATGTGACAGAATTATAAAATGATATCATATATATGATAAAATGTATAGAATTAGTAAAGTATGAGTAAAATCATTCTTGACATAGTCTTTTGTTATCTTCACAAAATTCAGTTTAAGATACTCTGTATAGTTGTATTTCAAGATACCAAAATTACCAGTCATTATTCTACTGTCCACTTTTATATGCTATAGGAGTATAGATTTATATAAATATCTGGCAGGCTATTAGGCCTTAGTGTATAAAAGGCCTTGAAACATCCAAGCCATTAGATAAAAT